ATACATTTCATACATTTTACACCAGCAGCGAATTCTTAAGCATAATCGTGTCACAGCTAAAACACCACTGAAAGGCAGAATGATTAAATGATGCTCGCTGAACAGGAGCTGAACAGACGAATCAAAGCCAAAACATATCTAGGATTACAGGGTTTTTTTAAGAGTGGAAAACAGATTCCCAATGGTGTCAGTTCAGTTTTAATTCTAGAGTTAGCTGTAGATCGCATAGAGAAGGTTTAGAGTTAGAGTTGGCAAGAGATCAAGATGTGAACCAGTAGGTTATGGGTTTCCTGTTGTAATGCATTACTGTTTTTTAAACTTTTTCCACTTTTTATCTATTACTTTAATTTAAATATTTTACTGTTCATGTAATTTTTATTATCCAGTTTTTATACATTATTGTCACTAAATTTCAACTCTTACTTTTGCTCCGAACTTTTCTATTTAAATATATTTATCTGTAACTTTTATTTAAGTTAAGTTCAACTGTTTACACATCACCTTTACAGTTCAAGTGTTAAACTATCAGTTTTATGGAACAATTTCAGCTGTTTATTTGACAGTTTTATTGAAATATCTTAACTGGTCATCCTTTACCTTTATTTATCTATTCCAACTCTTTATACATGACTTTAATTTAACAATTTAATCTGTTTAAACATAACTTTTCTTTAGCTATTTTAACTGTTTATCCAACAATTTAATTGAACTATTTTAAATGTTCAACCTTTACTTTTATTGAACAATTTCCACCATTAAAACAATACTTTTATTCAATTATTTCAGCTCCATAAATTTCATTTTACAATTTCAGCTGTTTATGTTTAAATTTTCTATAATAATTTCAACAATTTATTGGTTCATTTTCTTTAACTCTTTCAAAATGTTTATTCAACAATTTAATTTAACCATATTAAGTGTTCATACAACACTTTTATTTAACTAGTTCAGCTGTTCGTCCATTCATTTTAAGTATTTCCACTGTCCAGCAGTTAATTCATAAGTTTTATTACTATCATATCACATCATTCTGTATTATTCACACATGTATAAAGCTTCTGATTGTAAATATTGTGAGTAGCGGGGCAGCCATCCACAGCCATGGCCAGAGAAAAGCAGACAGGCTAATTTCCAGGCATCTGCTATCAAGAGGCTTGTCCACTTGGCTTGTACAACTAAAATAAACAATCGTTAGCCGAGCTGAATCTGTGACCTTGCAAAGTAGTTACCACAAGGGATCTCCTGTGGATACTCTGTTATGTTTCCCCAGTTACAGCGACTGGGATTAGATCCAGGTTTGTGTTTACTGTATGGGGGGATTTTGCTTGGCCAGGACGGCTGCTGGAGATGGATCCCCAAATACTATGAACACATTCCAGGCCTCCTGTGTTGTGGGCTGCGGGATGCTGCTGCTGCTGTCTTTATGGCAGATTCCTTTGAGGCAGGAGTATCTGAGGGAGACTGCAGCGAGGCACCGCTCAATGAGCAATTTATATGTTCTCAACAAAGCTTCTTCTTTAGGCCCCGGAGGCAGGTCTTAATTGTTAGACTTGGTATCTTCACTCTCCCTCTCCTCTTTCTTTGACTGTTTTCTTCTTCCTCCTCCCACCCACCCTCCCTCCAGCTATTAGGAATTGGATTTGGAGCAGAACGATCCATTTAGTCTCTCTCCTCCATCTCCATCCCTCTCTCTTTCTGCTTCCACACCTCCTCTGCAGGTTTTGCTCATCAAAGCCCAGGCTTAATCTGTCTATTTTTACCTGGAGGAATGAAAGGAAGGGATGAGGTAATGCTTTTCCTGTCCGTCAGGTGGGCAGTGGTGCATGGGCTCTCTGGGGTGTAAAGCTCAGAGAACTAGCCCCACCATGTGGACTCAGAGGAGATGGAACTTTATGAAAGCAATGAAGAGATGTTATTATAGAGGAAAAGAAGAGAAAACTTAAGAAAAGGGATTCAGGACTGACAATGAATCTGAGTAGGTGAATATAGCTATGAACTAAATTTAAAAACATTTAAAAATACAATTCTAGAACCAGTATTTTTATTTACATACAGTAAACACTGTAAGTCAGTGTGAGGGGAGTCAAACCCCTTCAAGCGGAATGTGTGAAAGCAGAGCTCCACCTTGTGGCACAAAAGCAGCAACAGCTCAAAACTGAAAGCAATTTATTTGTAAAATTAGAAAGAGAAAAAAAAAAAGAGTTTCAATTTCTGCTTTTAAGGCTCTTACATACAGGAACATTGCAGTCATACGTCCAGCATGAACCATTAGAGAGCGATATTTCAACCGGCAGAGAAACATAGAGGCTGAGGGAAAGCGAGGAGGTGTGTTATCTTCTCGGCTGAGATTTTACAACTGAAAGAGAAATACTCAGCCCTAATGAAAACAGATTATTGATATTGACAAGTTGAGCCTTTTATTTATTTTAATATATTTTCCGTGTATATAACCTACACACCATATTATTCACCCGTATACATAAATATGCTGCTATTATCTCATAGTTATGGTAAACTAAGGATTCACATACACATTTCTCCCTCCTGTTAGTGTTAGTGTGGAAAGCTTCACAAATAACTGAGACAGGAGTGGTATTACTTTGAGTTTAACTTCCCATTAGACACTAGATGAATATGGGTCATGATCCTCATCAATTATCCATATTAAAACTTTATATCTGAGGCAGTGGGACAGCTGCTTGCAATGGCTATATTCTTCTGCTTTTGCCCGCCGTATGTAATGTTCTGTTTAGTTGTTTGACATCCCAGCATCATTAATGCATGGCAGCATTATCTTCCTTATATATATCAGTTTATTGTTTTACCTGAAATTATGTTTCTGTGGTTGTGCTGTATGTAAATGAGGAGCAGCATTAAAGGGAAATGTGCGTTTTTACCATTTGCCTGAGATCAACAACAGCACTTAACCCACAACACAAGGTCAACAACAGGGTTAAAAAGGGACCCTTCCTTTTACCTACCTAAGTT